CACGAATCCCGAAGCAAGAAGCACCGACCCCGAAACTGCCAAACCACTCGGTTGCCTAACAGAATCAACGCCTCAACCCCAAAATCACAACAGGCACACCCAGACCACAGCCACAACACCAAATCACCGAAAGGCAATGGAGTGGTAAGACCCAGTCCCGACCCCAAATCGCCGGCCAGTCGCACAAACCACCACACCACTGCTGCAACAATCCCGATCAACACCACTGGAGGAAGAGTTGAAACGTCGGCCCCCATCGACCTGCAACGACCCAAGAAACGAGGCCCAAGAAACGAGGCCAGGGGGATGGCCTTGCGCCAAGCCGCACCGACGCACAGCAAACAAGTCGCAGAGCAATCGGGATGAATACCTCCCCGGAACGGCACCACGGCTCCACCAACACCAGACCGAGAAGCCCCAAAAATGATTGAACGGAACGGCTCCGGAATGGCGAAGACCATCCGCAACCGATGAGGCCTCGATCCAAAAGAAGCGTGTGGCAGAGCGGAAGAAAAAGGGGAAGATTCATGCTATTAGGAACCGCCGACCGCCGGCTAAGCGCAGTAGCGGCTAAGGAAGGCGGACCGTTTCAGATCTGAAGGTTGCGCTTCTTCTCTTTTTTTTTTTTCTTCGCTGAGAGAGTTCTGAAATTGGTTTATGGAAGATAATGTGACAGTGGAGGGAAATCTTTTACTTGGTTAGATAAAATCAAATTTTCTTAGCATGTATTTTGATATTCTTTTTTTAAAAGTAAATTAATCACACATTAAAATAAATATATAATTAAGCTTTAATTATTTGATATATCAAAATATGGTAAAGTATTCAAATTAATGCTCAAAACATGCTTTTAAATTGATTTTAAATATGCGTGAAATAAAATTCTTATATTGTAGTATTACTTCTAATCATAGACTCATAATATATATATATATATGTGTGTGTGTGTGTGTGTGTAGTTTTTCTTTAACATTTGAGTTTAAATTAATTTATAACATTATAATATTTTAATATCAAAGTTAATATATTATTGTTCCTAGATTGGATCATGATTATAGAATCGAATTTGAAGATGTATTAAGAAAAGTGGGCTTTTAACGAGTTACAATTTCATATTTCTAATATTATACATTAAAATGTAAAATTTTAAATTCAAACACATAATAAATTTAGATTTAAATAGTGTACATAATTTTACATGTGTTCTACAAATTAGTCTATACGGCAATTGGGCGTCTTAGGGCGTGATTGTATATGATTTCTATACAAAAATATTTTAATATATATATATATATATATATATATATATGGGGCCGGTCAACCTGACCCAGCTAGGTCAATGCCCCGGGTCGACTGAGTTGGCCGGGTTTTGACTGCATCCTTTGTTGCCCGATCTGAATAGTCCACCCAAACCGGTTCTGGTTCTGGGTCGACCTACCGAGCGGTCCGGGGTTGAAAAACACTACAAATAACCGTATATTGAAAAATTTTGTGAATATAAGAATGTTACGTAAAAATGGTTAGTTAAAATATTATTATTTGTATTTGTTACAAATAACAAATAGGAAAACAAAAGTGTTTCCTTTTGTTCTAATATGTGTTTTAAATAATAAGTACTAAAATACTATTACCTATTATATGTTATGTATAATAGCCACTTAATTAATGTTACCTAAAATATGTTACATAATTTAAAGTGTTTTATGAAAATGTTACCTATTAATAAAATGTCACCTAAAATATAATGTTTTTATAAGTGTTACAATAATGTGATACATAAAATACTTACTCAAAAAATGCTACAAATTCGTGTTACCTAATATCATCTTTGTTGTAGTGCTCGAGAAGCCGTTGCACTGACTGCCCCTCGAAAGAAATACAGTCCCCCCACTTGTTCACCCGCTCCAATTACCGTCCTCGTAGTGCGGTCCTGAATAACACAAAATTTATTAGTGAGGGTAGCCACACATCCAGCTTGTTCTAACAACTGATATAAGGAAATCAAGCTACAACGAAGACTGGGAACATAAAGAACATCATAAAGAACAATATGAGCCCCAAGTTTAACCGTTCCAGCTTGACTAGCAGTAGTGAGTGTGCCATTAGGCAATTGGACGGTCCGTGGTGTGATGGTCGCAATATCAGAAAAAAAAATTCTCGAAAACCTGTCATATGGTGTGATGCACCGCAATCATACATCCAATCAAATGAGCTACGCTTACCGGAGAGAGGAGAATTATTACGAGCCGAAGTAACAAGGTTGACAATAGACTCCCATTGAGCACTGGTCAGACCGGAAATAGCCGCTCGGTCCGACTCGCTTAGAGTCAACCCCTCGGCCGGGACGAGACCTCCAGACGAGCCGTTGGGATTGTGGAAAACGGTGGGACCGCCGCAAAATGCCGCATTAGCTCGTGCTTGTCCGGTCCTCCCGCCACGCTTGCCGTTACTCGTGCGGCCACCACCTTTGCCGGAACCACCACCGCGCCCGCTCCCCGTTCCCCACCATTCTAGATAGCCAATGACCTCAAAACACTTCGCAGCAACATGTCCCGTCTTGCCACAGCTAGAACAAGTAAGATTTTTCTCCGAGCGGCCGCCGGCGGCAACACCATGATCCGCCATGACGGCTGCTGCAAGTGGGGGCCCAGGAGCAGCTCCTAAGACGCCAGAGACATTAGCTTTTACCGCAAAGCTGGAGGTGTCAATCGAGGATTGGTTGTGAAGGGTTGTACGCATACGTTCCCCTCCCGAATCATCATAGCATAAACACGATTGAGGTTTGGCATAGGATCAAGAGCGAGGACGTGCAAGCGTGTTGGGCCATAGAGATCGCCATCGAGACCCATCAGGAATTGATGAACCTTCGCCTCTTCTCGTTGTTGATCCCATTCAGTCTGAAGTCCGCACGTGCACTTGCCGCAACGGCACATAGGAGAGCGTTCATAGCCCGCAAGTTCATCCCAAAGTTTTGTCATCTGACCATAGTAATTCTCAATGATGATTCCTGCCTGCCTGCACCCGGACAAATCAAGTTTAGGTTGCTGAATTCGGGGCCCGTTGACCATGGTGTAACGTTCACGAAGCGCAAGCCATAAATCATGAACGTAATCAGGTTGAGAGATTGTCGATCGAACCATTGGATCGATAGTATTCATAACCCAGCACAACAGAAGGTGATTGTTGGCGAGCCAATCTTCATATAGATCCGTCTCAGGCTGAGGACGAGAAATAGACCCATTAAGAAATCCGAATTTCTTACGAGCACCAAGGGCCGTACGCAAACTCCGAGCCCATTCTTCATAATTGGTGTCGCCTTTTAATTGGACATGAGTGATTAACAAGCCGGGATTGTCGGAGGAAGAAATATCAAACGGAGAGATGGATCGTCGGGTGACAGTCTGTCCTTCTTGTGTTGTATTCGACGAACCAGAATCTGCCATTTTTTTTTTTTTTTGGTAAACCTGCCGCGACGGTGAGAGGTTGAACGAGACAAACAAAAAATTATTGAGGGGTAAGCCTCAGTTACGAAAGGAATGGAATTTGATTTTGATCCTTTTTTTTTTGGCTTTGTTTTGGCTTTTTTTTGGCTTTGTACGCTGGAGAAAAAAAAAACGGGAGAAAAAAGCGGGCTGAAGGGAAATTTCTCTGTTTGATCGAAAAAACACGAGAATGAAAGGTACAGAGTCTCAGTTGATCGAGATCGAAAAAGAAAAAAAATTTAACCAGGCTGCGATACCATGACAAAGAGATTTTGGGAGAACTCTTCTGTTCGTATTGATCAAAGAGAGGGGATATAAATCCCTACAAGATACAAGACAAAAAAGAAATTACCTAATTACAAGGCTAATTACACTCTATCAAATATTCACAAAGATATTATAAGATATGATAACAATGTGCCTCTCGTTGAGTCCCTCTTCCAACACCTGAAGACCTTAGGTTTCGGCAAGACAGTCGAAGTCTACAAGGATGCCATGCTCATAGCAGTCGAGAACCGTGACGAAATGATTTTCAAAGAGATCATTTACCGGATCATGGACGATAACCAATTTGAGTTCCGTAAGTTGGAGGATGCTTATGGAAACACGCCACTACACTTGGTTGCAAGGTTGCCCCCACCGCACAAGCTCAATCTTGTTTCTGTTGTGGCCCTACAGATGCAACGTGAAATATACATTGGTTTAAGGTACGCGCGTAATCGAGTTGACTTCTCATATAATGTTTAAGATGTGAGCTGATGAATATTAAACATAATTAATTCTAACATAAAGGTAAATACCTTTTTAACAATATTATAGATTGTATTTTTCAAGCAGAAGAAAACTATTCGCTGAGTAAGCATATCGACAATAGTATAAGAATATAACTATGTTAGATGTATCATGTATGTATGGTCTCTTGTTAAGACATCATCTTTAAGTTTAAGCCCATGACATTTTTAATTATGTACGTTATATTCCTTTTCCTCTTCTTAAGACATCATATTTATAAAGTATAAATACACTTACACAAATCACCACAAAATTGAAACAACTCAGCAAAAAGTGCAAAGTGACTGAAGACAAAATATGCTTAGCCATACTACATTGAAACTCTCAAGTGACAGCAAAAAAAAAAAAAACAACAACAATTCACCTGCATTTTTAATCAATCAGTAGAAGGGGCGGTTGCTCTGCTTGCCGAAAATGCCACGACCATACGTATTAGAAATAACATCCACGAGCAACGGGAACTGCAGCAGCACGAACGAGGTCACGGGCAAACAAGCAAGGGCAGCTACCGGTATGAGTATCCAAGCCTTTTCCCGGCCGAAAACTATATAAAGCGTCGCGCTAAATGCTACCATCATAAACGAGATGGACATGAAAAGTGTAACAAGCCCAATGCAGAGCCTCTTGGGCAATGCGTACATGAAATCTTCCTCTGCATAGCGTGACGTCAGAATAGATAAGAACATCAAGAGAGAAGTTGTGGACGTGAAAAGAGAAATGGCATCTGAGACCGCAAATATTATGAAGGCAGCCTTTGTGGAGAAGAAAGGGAAGCCATTGGACGCATTTCCACCCGGGACCGTGATAGCGGCGGCGAACACAACTGTGGCAATCAATGCTGCAGCAATTGTGCACGAATTTGCTGTGTCCTTCATCCACTTCTCGCCTTCAGCTTTTAGTTCCTTGTGCTCGTCTGTGAATACCATCTTTGGCGTTTTCCCGGAATTGTTCATTCTTTCTCGAGAATACGGGTGGAGAAATTTCTTCACTTCCTGTTAACATCAATCGAACACAAAAGTGCATCATAATTTAATAGCACACAAACTAAATTCATGACCAATGGCTAACAGCAGGGGTGTTAATAACTGAACGTTCGCGAACAAAAGCTTGTTCGAGCTCGTTCGCGAACAAAAGCTTGTTCGCGTTATGAACGTTTACGAACAAAAGCTCGTTCGAGCTCGTTCGTGTTCGACAAAAGCTCGTCCGTTTGTTAATCGAGCCAAGTTCAAACAGAAAATTAGGCTCGTTTCATAGTCAAACGAGCACGAGCTCGTTCGCGAACGTTCGATAATATGTGCGAACATTAATTTAATATATTTCTATTTTATTTTTTTATTTTCGAGTTCGAACGAAAAAAGTTCGAGTTAATCAAACGTATTTAAAAAGTTTAGGTCTTAAATTATTTGAACTCAAACTTAGACAAACAATTAAAAGAACGAGCTCGAAGAAATTTTTTGCTCAAAAAATAAACAAACGAACACGAACAGTAATCGAACGTATACGAACACGAGCTCGAAAAGCTCATGCTCAGCTCCTTCGGTTTGATTACAACACTAGCTACAACTTACGAATATACGTACAAAAAACCAAATAATTCACGTGAGTCACGTACCTCAAACCACTGCAACTCGCGCTGCATTTGAAGAGCGGCACCAGAAACAAGATTGAGTTTGTGCGGTGGGGCCAACCGTGCAGCCAGGTGAAGGAGAGTGTTTCCGTTAGCATCCACCAAATCCGAGTACTGATGCCTAAGGGAGCTCGTTTGGTAAATCAGGTTGAACACCTTTTCACTACGGTTTTCGACTGCCACGTGGAATATGTACTGTTTTGAGTGGAAATTACGGGAGTATATGGCAGCCGGAAATGTGGCCACAAGTTCCTCGATAACCTCGTGAACACCTAAGCGTGCAGCCGTAAGCATTACGTCCACGTAGATTCCGGAGGCCTGCTTGTAATCTAAGGACTCCATATTCTTGCACAGGGATAGAACAAGCTCAAACGCCAGCTCATGAGTGCGTTTTCTTTGGCGATTGGCCTTCGCACGAGGAACTGGTGATATATCGAACACGACAGTCAATGTGATGGAATTACAAATATTCGTAGTATATATGACCGAGTTTTAAACATAAAATTCTTGCAAAAATATCCAGAAAGTTTTGTAAATCATTTTCAACTAAGGCATTCATTAAGAAAAAGGCAAGAAAGATGGATAATTTTGGTGCAGCTAGTACAGAGAAATAAAGCAAAAGAATCAAACAAGAGAAATAAAGCAAAAGAAATTACAAATAGGTTAAACATTATTTTGCAAAAGAAATTACAAATAGGTTAAACATTGTCAAGAAAGTTTCACAATGCAAAGATTAATTGTTTCATCACATTGTCATTACATGATAACTATAACTAAATCCTTCTGTAAGAAAAAAATCAAAGCAAAGTCAAAGATAATCATTTTCCTAATCATTTGAAAACAATCCTTTCATTTCTTATATATACATTTACAAACAAAGTCACTCTCATACAATTAGCATTTAATTCTTCGCAAATTCATAATAAATCCAATACGCAATTCCAACATAGTTTAACCGAGAGACTAACCCGAGTAAATAAACCGTTCCCAAAAGTTGAATCGCCTTATGCCACTCGAGAAAGCAGAGTCCTTAAGCGCTATCCTGCTCAAAGCCGACGTGCCATCTCTCAATTTCAAAGCAGCCAAATGTGTATACTTTTTAGCCAAATACAAGGCCACATCTGAATAATACAGAGCAAAGACCAATCATCATCAGAAGTTCAAAAAACTCTCACAACAATGAAAGTACCCAAACGATAAAGGCATAAACACACCCACCAAAAATATCAGCATCAATCACAATACACAGAAGCTTGAGGCCCGTCTCCCCAAGGTACGGGCTCGGGAACCAGTCGTCCTTCGTCTCAGATATCAAATACCAAAGGGTCTCCCCATGGGCCGACAATGCCGCCAGGTGGACAGGGAAGCTACCCGTGTTATCGGGCACACACAGCAAATCGGGCCTTCGGTCCACGAGGATCTTGGCGGCAGCCGTGTTTCCTGTCAGAGACGCCACGTGGAGAGCCGTGTAACCGAGCTCGTCTTTCACTCCTAATAAGTCGTCGGGCATTATGTCAACTAGGTTTTGGACGAAATGGAGGGCCTTGCCCGTGCCCACGGCTATGTGGAGGGAAGTCTCCAAGGTGAAGGCTATCCGGGCCGTGGTGGCGTGCGGGTCCCTGTCTATGATTTGTTTGGCTTGGGCCCATTCACCCATAAGCGTGGCTCTGTACAGCGGCAGGTACTCGCGCCACTCGCGCTCGGTATCTATCGATAAATCAGAAATTCCACAAATGGAAAGCAAGTGTGGTTTTATCGCATTAGTGATTACTCAAGTTAGACTGAACCAAAAAAGGAAAATCTATTTCAGTTTCATTTGCTAAAAATGCACAAAGGGTCAAAACCCTCTTTCCAATTGAAGAAATTTCATTTTCCCCCAAAAAAAATAAACTAATTGTAGAAAATAAAAATCGAATCTTTATTCAGCCAAAGATGGAATCTTATAGTTAAGCTAAGGATACCTTGTGGCTGTGGCGGGCCGGTGGCTGGGGGGGGGCCCGCCGATGTTCTTCTCGAGCTCGGCCCACACATCTCTGGCGGTGGCTAAATGGGCCACCGTCCGGAGCACCGGGTCGGCCAGTGACCCGAGAATCCAGCCCTTGACCACTCGATCCGTCCTCCACGCCACATTATTGTCGTCCCTTGACCTCCGGGCGTCCTCGTCGTCGGCGGCGGCGGGGGTAGGGACAGACGGTGGAGGACTTGGCGGCGGAATCGTGCCGTCGATGAAGCGGGTCAGGTCGTGGGCCTCGATGAGGCAGAGCAACTGCTGTCTCCAGGACGGGTAATTGCTCGAGCGGCTGTCACCGGAGAGTTTGGAGGAGACAAAGTTTGAAACGTTGACGGTGGTGAGGTAGCTCGGGAAAGATTGGTCGGCGGCGGTGGGTGGAGATGAAGCCATTTTTGCCGGATACTGAGTACTGAGCTTGAGCTCTTGGCTGAGGCTTGCTAAGTGGAATAAAAATAAGTAACAGAACGCGTATTGAAGGATGCATCTAATTTATTGTTTACAAATACAGTTGTCAATAAAGTCAAATTTCTATATTTACATTAAAATATTAAATAATCATACAATGTGATATCATATTTTATTTGTATAGTGTAGTATTTTACAATATGATACTATTTAACTGTAAAAACATATTTTTTTAATATTTTTATTATATTTTATTTGAAAATATGATAATTAATTGGTCATGGATGTGAGAAAATCTAATAGGACGGGTGGATCTTTATGAAGCATACATACAATTAAATAAATAATTAATAAATCCTTATTTATCGTTGTACATATAATAAATATTGTTATCAACTTATCACCCAACTCAGTAACCCGAAGTTATTAGCCTCGAACTGGGTTTTAGATGGATTATTACCAGCAATGACATGGCCAACAGTTATCCCGGTCCGCATACCGAACCAGCCAAGCTATAGAAGACCGAGGTGATCCTCACAACCGAGGTCATCCCAGAACCGAAGTCGCTATGAACCGAGGTCACCACCTCCTAAGCTGGTGACAAGGCGCCTACACGCCACTTTCACAAACCACGAGATCAATTGAGACCCGCTAACAATGCCGCCCAACAAAAGTAGCTTTATGAAAAAAGCAATGCACAAATCTCGATATGTATCCCAAAAAGTTATTATAAATAGCAAAGTCCCGCTACTTGTACGGGGGATCTCGAACCGAATATTTTACACATGAAATACGAAACAGCTCACAGAAGTTTTCCACCTCGGTTCACCTCAGACCGGGGCCATTATTGAATTTTTATTGTATGTCTTACGTTCAAACTGTTAAAAATCAATCGTTTAAACCTACTTTCAATCGTTGTTAACAATCACGTAACAACAAATATAGATCATCATATACGTATTTTAGAGCAATTTCATAAAATTTATATTCATTTATTTGATAGTGTAATGCATATTTTTATAAAATATCAGCTTACAAGATATATATTCATAGCAAGTATCTTCTAGTTCATTTATGGAGATCCTTGCTATAATTGGCCTTTGATAAGATGATTGACTTTGTTGTGATACATAATCCAAGATATGCGTCATAACTTGGGGAATTCATCACGAGCTTTTGTTTTGACCTTTGAGCGTCAGTGTTACTATAGTGTGCCTTGGCATATTTAGCAAGATGTGCCAAGACAGTTTAAAATGAACATGTTACTTTATAAAATGAACATTTATAAATAAGTTTACATATGTTCATTTTATGAAATAACATATTCATTTTAAAAAAGCAACACACTTCTGCAATCTTGATTGCCAAGAAATTGCTCCCCCTGCAAAAGTGTAGACATAGCCCGAAGTAGACTTTCGACAATCGATATCTCCGGCCATATCAGCATCAGTATATCCTTCCAAGACTGGATCAACTCCCCCGTAACAAAGACATAACTTAGAAGTACCCTTCAAGTATCTGAGAATCCATTTGACAGCCTCCCAATGCTCCTTCCCGGGGTTAGAAAGAAAACGACTTACTACACCCACTGAGTACGAAGGACCAGGTGTTTGAGTACTTCAAGTTATTTCACGTCATGGTGGAACGTGAAACAGGAAAGAAGCTGAAATGTCTCCGATCTGATAATGGAGGCGAGTATACTTCCAAGGAGTTCGATGCATATTGCAGAACATATGGCATTCGACATGAGAAGTCTGTACCACGTACCCCTCAGCACAATGGTGTTGCTGAAAGAATGAATCGGACTATCATGGAGCGTGTCCGAAGCATGATGAATATGGCTAAATTACCAAAGTGACCGCGCGTCGCGACGCGGCAAATTTAAATTTATAAAGTTTCCTTTGCTAGCCTC